TGAGATTACGACCACTTGATCTCAACCTTCGCTAGGGGGCGAAGTGAATTTTATCTGTGATCTGTATTCGAAATCTAACCCTGATACAAACACCACTAGCAACATCTGCATCCATGACATTAACTTCCCCCAAATTTAAAGTAGTATAAAATGCAAGGACATAAACCTTCTTTCTTTCTTCAACCCCAGGATGTCGTAGGGACAAGACGTGTCTCGTTTCCCGTCTGTGAGGCTTCTGTCGCCCCAAGCTGAACCACGTGTAACACACAACATACTATTTCCTATTCGAAAGCAAAACTTCATGCAACTAGAATAAAACACATATCACAAGTATATATATATATATATATATATATATATATATATATATAATAAATTAACTGATTAAAAATATGGTTTTTCGCTACACAGTAATAACCATGTTTCAAAAACTTAAGCTAAAAAGTTCAAATTTAATTATATAATTAAATTAAAAGCATTAGTTCTGTTTCATCTTCAAGCGAATTTTGGAATAACTTATTTTTAAATTTACTGAGTTTTAAACGCACATATAAATTCATAATTTCCTGTTTCAAGGGATACAGAGAAATCCAATCATTCAGACAGGGGCGGTAGCGTGTTCATTTTTATCAACTATTGTTGTATCAATTATGAGTTACGTTCGAAAAAGAGGTTAAGTTTAAGGAGGGCAGGGGTGTATTTTTCAACGAAATCTGACATCAGTTAAACGCATGTCGTCTGTTTCTTTCTTGTTTTTTTATTAACGGCAAAAGGTTTTTCAGCGTTTTTTTCGTACTTGTATATTTAAAGATTCTTTTTAAACGGGGTGTTTGAGTTGGAATACGCTTTATTTAACGACAATTTTAAAATATTTTTTACTCTTAATTACTAATAGACTATATTTCTTTTTAAAACAAATAAATGTAATAGAATTACTTAAATTATTTAAAATTATTTTTTCATATCAAATATAAGTATGTATATTACCAGCTCCCATTTTTTAATTTTATTTTTAAATATTATTTAAGGAAAATTTTTGACAATGACGGCAAAAAATAGCTATTTCATTTCTCTGATTCAGTAAATTTTTATTTTTTATAAATTTAGTAATATATAGTTTATCATGTATGCACAAAGGATATGGGTCATTTAATGACCTACATATTCTAGCTTTTCTTATTAGTTTCCATTTTACTGTAGGTGTTTTATTGGATTCTTTTAAGTGCCAGAAATATTTTGAAAGGGATGTCTGATTTCGGTATTTATTTATCCTAAATGAACTGTGATGTTGATTGAACCTCTTCTTGAACTTATTTGGTGTTGTTACAAACGCACACACAGAGACACTGTTATAGTGGAACACACCTATTCTATAGTTAATAGACTCTACCTATAATAAGTAGGAGTAGTAAGAGTAACGAGGGAGTCGCTGAAGTCGCTCAGTGAGTTGGTCAGTCAGTCGATGTCGGACGACCGTTAGTCGGATACTAAAAGTATCAGCGACCACAACTAGATTTTCTCTGCGTCATACCTATTATATGAAGTTCCTAACGTTTTGTACGTCGAACCTGTTTTAGGACCGACTTAGTACAAATACAAGCCTCCACTGTGAAATCACTCCATAACAGACACACACACACACACACATATATATATATATATATATATATATATATATATATATATATATATATATATATGTGTGTGTGTGTGTGTGTGTGTGTGTGTGTGTGTGTAACAACATCAAGTGTATTATTCATTTCTATTAGAAACTGGACATTGACGCATTATCTTAGGGTTAATGGTGACAATTTGCTTGAATTAATTGGCAAAATGAAAATAACAAGAGGTGTCAACCACCAATGCAGGTTTTGAAAGCCACTGAGTGGAACAAGAAGAACGAGGACTTAAATTGTTACCCTAATGAGAGCCGAGAATCGGTTTTTATCTTCTGGTGGACTTCCTCGGTTGGCCGGGTATTCCCAATCGACATCCAGACCATCAAAACCTCGTTTTCGCATCCATTTAATGCCGTGATCAATGAAGTCCTTCCTGTTCGCGGCGTTCGCTACCATGGCAGTGAAAGGTGGAGAGCCCATGTTCCAGCCACCAACTGAGATCAAAATCTTCACTGAGGGGTTTTTCCTTTTTAGGGCCATGGTTCTCTCATACCTGAATAGATAGATAGATAGATAGATAGATAGATAGATAGATAGATAGATAGATAACTGACTGAATTAGATAGATAGATAGATAGATAGATAGATAGATAGATAGATAGATAGATAGAAAGAAAGAAAGAAAGAAAAAGAAACAGACCAAGAGATATGAACACATGGAGATAGATAGATAGATAGATAGATATGAACAGACTAAAACATAGAAATTGATATAAAGAGACATATATAAGCAAACTTAGAGATAAACAGACATATATGAACAGACATAGATATGATTATTGCCATATTCACAAAGTTTCGGCCATTGTACGCTCCGGCATTGGAATTTCGAACTGAACCCTTTATTTCGTCTACCGGGGTAGATTGTTCTAGTTCCACGTTCCCTGCCTCTTTCGGGTGTCTCAGTTATTTTCTTTTAACTCAAATCTCTAAGCTTTTAGGTTTACTACCGCCATGCAATGGAGATGAGGATAAAAGTCCGAATAAAGTAAATAATAGAAATAATTATAACGTCTCATTTCAGAGATATAGACAGATAGTATTTTTCTTTCATCATAATTTTAGTTCCATTCCGTCAAAACTGTTCAGGCCACCCGTCTTATTTATTAATAAATAAATCAAAATATTACCTTGAATTTTTGAGGTTGTCAACCATTGTCAACCATTATTAATTTTTGATTAGTATTTTTTTCATCTTAATTTTAGCCTGAGCAGTTGCAATAAAAAGCAACTAAAATTACCAAATAATGGTTGACAATCTAAAAAAAACTTCAAGATGCTATTACTAATTATACTATTTGCCCTCATCTTGGTTGCTATTATCTTACGGGATAATATCTCACCGGATTAAAGCCTTGATTCCTGAATTCGGTTATAGAGTGATTATGAGTTTAATCCATGAGTTTTATTCTTTGCTCCCTGAGTACTTGGACTCAGTGGAAACGGGCGAATAATAACTGAGCAGTACTCAAATTAAGGACGAGCCGACATATCCCCAGACAGTGGTCAGTAGAACGAGAATATTCTATCCCAGTAGATTAAATAAAGGGTTCAGTACTGAATTCCCTGTAGGTTACCCAGATCGATATACACCTGAGAAAGACCAAAGGTTGCAACAAACAAATATTTAGTCAAGGGTTCAAATATAAACGTGTAAATAAAGATAAGTCTTCATCCCAGAAATTCAAACAGATGAAAAGCAAATGAAATTAAAATGAAAGAAATACTAGTTAAAAATTAATCCTGGTTGACAATGTTTCATCACATTATCAATTCAAGAAATAACTTGTTTCAAAATATTAATTATGTTTTGTAGTTGGGTCACTACGCTCCGATAACTATGACAGATGACGTAAATCCTCTTAGATGACGTCATCCTCTTTTCTACTTACCAACCTTCCCATAAGTCAAGATGGTAAGCGATCATGGCTCTCCACAGATTCCATTTCTGTATTATTTGATATCTGCCATGATTTCTTGGGAAATATAGTAAAGTTGTTTCCTCTTCCCGGTATTTAAAGTCGGGGCTATTTTTCTACACTTGTTGCCCCCCCACCCCAAGGTTAATGAACCTAGTCTGTATCCTGCGATTTAGCCCATGGATGGGTGTTGAGGAGAAGGGGTAGATTTATGATTTTCCCAAGGGCATTTGTGCAAAAATGAGCACTATTTACGTTGCGGAAATTGCGACACAGAAGAATAAAGCAAAAGGTGCCTTCCAAAAGCTGAGCAAAGTATTAAGAAAAAGAAAAATATCATTAGAATCAAAGAAACGAGTACTGAACTGCTATATAATATCAGTCCTCCTATATGGCGGATGAAGAAGAGACTTGAAGCAACAGAAACAAAGAAAAGAGTACTTGACTGTTATGTAATATCAGTCCTTCTATATGGCAGTGAATGTTGGACAATCTCCTCACAGTTGAAGAAGAAACTTAAAGCAACAGAAATGTGGTTCTACAGAAGGATGCTGAGACTACCATGGACCGAACATGTGAGCAATGACGAAGTCCTAGAGACAGTGGCTACAAAAATGGAAACATAATTTTAATTTATTTTTAAATTTATTTTTAATATTATCTTACCCAGGAAGTCATATCAATTCACAGATAACGAAGAAAAAGATCTGGAGAGCCATATTCGCCTACTTCTCGAAGAGGCATGGCATTTGAAAAAAGAAAAAACTCATTTGACTTTGATAAAAAAAAAAAAAATTACTTAATCTAATACATAGTTTCCGCCGTCTCCTTCGAAGTAGTTCCTTTGGCGTGTATATAGGCATTTCACAAAGAGTACTGCTCACAAAGGGGAGCGGCAGTAGTCCGTACTATATTTGCTGTTCAGATGAACTCGGAATCTTCTGACAGCATTTAATATTCTAGCATATGATAATTGTGGAGTAATGCGTTGCAGCTCGGATTGAGGAATCGGAGAGCCGAGTTCGAATTCCAGTCGGAATTCACTTACGTGCTAATAAAGTTGGGAAAGGTATGAATCCTCTTCTTCTTCCGTCACCCAAGGACAGACTGGGATCCATAGCCTTGGGTGACAACCGGTCTAGGAGAAGGTAACTCTGAATTCAAAACCGGCCTGGAGAGGCTATCTTGCCCAAGAAACACAACTTCAACCCTGACAGGCCACGGGATTCACGATAGCGCTAATTACATTACCGTTGTGCATTTGTTTATTTATGTCTTTCTTATCAAGCGCTTTAAAAAAGGGAGATAAATCAAGTTAAGGTAGTAAATTTATGCGTGATTACTTCCCTTATTCATTCTAATAAAATAAATTATTTACCTTTATTTAGACAAAATTAGTTCCAGAGGAAAACGAACCGTTTTATTAATCCGTTCCCTCACTACTAGGCTTCTTAGACTGAAGTCTTATTTATTCAAGCCTTTCTTGCGAAGCACTTAGATACCTTTGTCTATTCCTTCGTCTTGCTCCAATTTGATCTTGAGATAAGCTCTGTCTCTCTTCACTGTCTTTGTCTCTCTGTTGCTAAACTATTTCTTTCGAGTTGTGTTTTCATTTCGTGCCATTGTTCTTTTAAACAGAAATCGTTTAACACGAATAGATATTGAGCGAAAAGTGATTTATATAATGTCAAGTAGTTAAATTCCCAGATCAATTCTGTGGCCAAGACAAATTGGTAAAAGATGACAACTGGAAAAAAGTCTTAGTTTTCTGCCGACGCGTTTCGTCTTCCGACTTTTTCAAGGCAAATATGAAATCGAAATGTTTTTGTTGTTATAGTTACATTACAAAATCCAAATTCCTAAAGGAAATTTACATTAACCAGAAAGAGGCTTACGCAGAAGCGTCTCTCTTTTTTAAATTCCACCACGGAATTTGTGATCGAGCGGCGCTATATCGAGTCTAATTCGTCACCGACAACCGTTGGAACAGTTGGTATGACGTTTGCCTGATAACGTAACTATCCGGGTTTCAATTCTCGGTAATGGTTACGCACTGCTGATGAGTCCCAAATATAGGAACAAACGGTCGGCCATTGCATTCGGTTGAGGTTTCCTCTAGACTCGATGAATTATTCAATTATGAAAATAACTATTGTGAAACGTATGGGAATAGTTTCAAACTTTGTTCATTTTGTTCTATCTATTATTTCAACTGAATAAAAGAAGCTAAACTGAGTAACAGAAGGTACGGTGGAGTAATGGATAGCAGCTCGGAATGAGGAATTGGGGAGTCGAGTTCGAATCCCAGTCGAGTTCATTATATTCACTTACATTCGGAAAGGTATAAATCCATCTTTGGTACAAATAGAAGGTCAGACTATAAAATAATCAAAAATATAAAATTGTATTCCATAGCAAAAATAGTCCTTGATTGGCATCCGGTCTAGGAGATGAACAACTCTGAATTCAAAACCTCCAACCTTCAATTGGCCAAGCGTGGTGAGTACGGCTAAAGAAGGTTGAACGAGAAAACAAGGGCAAAAAGAAAAGAAAAAAGATAGTCTCCCAAGCTGAACTTACATTCCTTTCATCCATGGCTCAGATTCGTCGTTCCACTCAAAAGCTGTGAGGTGATTCCCATTCAGTTTGGCAAAAGCGTAACAAATATGGGTGCAGAGGCTTGGATCAATGTTTTCGGGGAAATACTTTCCGGGAGAAGGTCTGTATTGAGACCAGTTGGTATGATAGCATACCCGACGGTACCCAGCTGAAAAATACAAAAAATATCGTTTTACATGTCCACAAAACAGACAACCATCGTTTTCGTCGATCTTTTGTTCCAGATGTTGACATAGACAAGGAAAAAAAATGCTATTTATAAGAATCAGAATGGGGCCCTTTGACGTGGTATTAGCAAGCTTGTCTCGCAAGATCAATTAAGACTGAGGAGAGAGTTCGATAGTCCCTGGGTACACCATATTTGCTGCCTTATGCTTATCATCCGTTGAACGTCGTATTAAGAAATAGTTTGTTGTATGTATGTATAATAGCATCATCTACATGCAAAAAAAAAAGGCTAAAAATAATGGAAGCCTTATCAATAAAAACAAACAAACCAATACTTAATAATATTAACTTTGAACATGGACATAATATCCTGACCGTGTTTTGAAAAAATGAAAACATTTTATAAAACATACATACAACAAACTATTTCTATTTCTTATTTTTACAGTTAAAATATAATCCGTGAAAATGGCTAAATGTATAGCCGAAAGCGCTCGGATAAAAAGAACATTCGGATAGTTTTTATATAGTTTATCATCCGAAAATGTGCATAATATATATATATATGTGTGTGTATGTGTGTGTGTTCGACGATGAACCAGTCCATCGGAAAAACTTGTGAAAGGGGCGTGTTATACACCGGTGCGTATTATATGATAGGGAATACAGTATATTTGTTGCGTGAAGAAAATATAATTTTACAGTATCTTTTTTTAGACTAGAATTTTGGTGTGAAGGATTTTACGTGTTACTGGTTTCGGTCAATTTGTCCGAGGTTAAGGCAAAACTTATTTGCACTTAACAGATCTTTATATATGAGTACGGATAATTTTGGGGGCTTTGCCTCGAAGTTGATATTTTCGAAAAGGTTTTCTTAAGAAGAAAAAAAATCAATGAAAAAATAAACTAAGTTCAGAATTCTTCTTATTTTTGAGGTCAGAATATTCTTTTTTCAGGACGTACTGCCTCGCGTTTTTGAATTCTCGTAATTGTGTGAAAGTGTCGATACGCCCTTCTGTGTATAGAGACTGAAGAAGAAGAAGAAAAAGACACAGTAACTTACCACTGCTGACTCCGCCAACGGCCAGTAAGAGTAACAGGGACACAGCAAGCATTGTGCCTGGCCGGGTAAAAGAATGTTTGTAAGATTACACTGGATACAATGATATGGATAAATATATATATATCAACAAAAAGAAAAATACTTTTTCAAAAATCGCCTGTTTTTGTTGTGTTTGGGTAAGATTACCTAGCAATATTAGACCAAGAGAGACCAACAAAGAAAGGTGAGAGGGGAAAAAAAAAGAAAGAAAGAAAGAAAGAAATAAAGAAATAAAGAAAGAAAGGATGAAATAAAGCGAGAAAGAAAGAAAAGATTAAATAAAGCGAGAAATAAATAAATAAATAAATAAAGAAAGAAAGAAAGAAAGAAAGAGTGATATTAAGCGAGAAAATAAAAAGGAAGAAAGGAAGGAAGTGAGGGTGACATTAAGCGAGAAAATAGAAAGAAAGAAAGAAAGAAAGAAAGAAAGAAAAAGAAAGAAAGAATTCTTTCTTTTTCTAAAAGAAAGGGTGACATAAAGCGAGAAAATGGCAAGAAAGAAATAATGAAAGTAAAAAAGAAATAAATAAAGAAAGAAAATAGCGAAAACATAAAAAGAAAGAAAGAATGAGATAAAGCAAGAAAATAAAAGAAAGGCTGAAACAAGAAAAGAGGGACGAAAACAATAAGCAAAGAAAAAAACGATAGTAAAGAAAGATGGAAGGAAGGTGGGAATCATGGAAGCAGTAATGTAAGAAAACTGAGACAGCCACTCAAGAAAAGAATAAATATGTTTGAAAAGATACTTTAGTAAGATGAGCCTAGAACACAAGGTTTATATCCGTGTATAATATTTTCTTAACACACATACCTACATCTATAATTTAACGTTTCTTTTGCTGTTCTGCACAATTTCATCTGGCACATAAAATAATTCAGATGCCTAAAATACTTTGCTTTGACTAGGTTTTCTCAAACTTTTCTGTTTCCTCAAAGGGAACACGGTATTAAAAATTCTAATGATAGAACTTTAAAGAAAACGAGATAGAAGTGATCATTTTAAATCCATAACAAAAGATTTTAGTCGCTTATTTCTAGGTTTACCAGATTATAGAAGAATGCAAACATATTTCTCACTTTTCTTTTTAAAACTTTATTAAGTTATGAATGAGATCAGGCTGGGTAGGAAAACAGGTTTCTTTTCTTTTTTTCTTTACAAACTCCGAAGTTTTATATGACTTTTAAAATTAGCATTCAGAATTTTTTTTTTAAATCGGGACTTGATCACCGATTTCAACCCAGAATATTGTGAACTGCGGTGACGTAGACCATTGTGCAAATGAATTGAAACAAAACGAATAAATCCGTTATTATTTAATTTTTTTCCGTATTTTCCAATAAAACATGACCCAGTGGACATGTTATTACTTCATATATCCATTCCACAAGTCGTTCCTTTTAGACTGACCACAGATTTTTGACTGGATTTAAAATCGAGAGAGTTTCCGGGCCAATCTATATTACTTTGATTTGTTCACTGGTAAGGCTTGCCAGTGTGTTCGTGCAGCGTTACAATTTTTGTACGCTTCCTTCATGTAACGTCCATCACAGACAATGTCCGTAGGACAACTAATCGACAATCGAGACAATAGTGTCTGGGCGAGATAAAAAATCTGATGCAATAACAGATGATGCAATATTTTTCAAGACCAAACAGATTTCATCATACATCCCGAAAACAGATTCATATTACTGCTCGCCACTGCAAATTACCTAATCTGAGGAAAAAATAAAAATCGATTACATCTTGTCACTCCAGTGGGTTTAAAACTGACTATATGGTGAAAAAAGGAAACTAAAGAGGTTGTTTCAATTAATTTACACAAGAGCATAAATAATATAAAGATTCATAAATCTTTCTGTTTGAGCTTTAGTATATAGTTTTTTTTTAAATCGGTGTTACCCCAAGCAAGGCAATAAAGCCACTAAGACACAATGGGTTACTAGGTGTGACAGAATTAAGAAACAGAAAAATTATCAAGGAATGAGAATTGCAGAAGAGTAATCAGGAAGACATTTGTTTCAAAAACATTGCTTCGTCGTCTGCAGATTTTTCTTTGGATTCTTTCAGGAATCTCTAAATATATAGTAGAAGCACCAGACTTATATGTGGTCGCAATATTCAAAGCAAGGACGAATAGTAGACTGATCAAGACTTTCGGCACATTCCCTAATGAGTTTTAGAAATGGCCTCATAAAATCAACCCAAATATCGACTTCAGAACTCTGTCCTTTAGGAAAAGCGAGAGCCCTGGGGTATGCGGATGGTAACTTGATGTTGAACAGAACTGGCTATTTTATATCTTTGAAGATGAAAGGAAACAGATTTTTATTTACAGGTTGCGATTTGGAGAAAGAAAGAGAAAGAAAAAAGTTTATTTTTATTTATTTTTGCTTTTTGAATCGCAGCTCGACAGTAATGAGTAATAGCGTAAAAAGAGGAGTGAGTAATAGTGGCATTTTAATAATATATTTTGTCGTTATCCTCTTATCCGGTTCCTTTAATTTCTGAGGTGTGTTTTTACTTGGTTACTTCTTTGATAAATCATGATTATTTTTGCCTTTTTAGATCGCAACTTCACAGTAATGAGTAATAGTATAAAAAGAGGATTAAGTAATATTAGCATTTTAATAATAATAATAATAATAATAGGAAACTGAAAGAAAATGGTATGAACACCACCCAGACCCGGTTACGGAGATAGGACCTATTACAATTCTATGGGACTGACACAATACACACTGACAGAACAATCAAAGCCAACCGCCCAGATATTGTTATTAAAGACCACAAACAAAAAAGTGCCTCCTTATTGATATGGCAGTCCCTGCTGACTGCAATGTATCTTTGAAGATATTCAAAAAGCTGTCAAAAATACAAGGACCTTGAAATAGAAATCTCAAAAAATGTGGCATATGGGAACATCAACAATACCTGTTGTAGTCGGAGCCCTAGGACTGGTTGGAAAAAGATTGCAGTAGACTAATTGAAGGGGATTCCTGGAAGTCCATGCCTCAAAGAGATACAAAAAATTGTTCTGACAAGTACAGCCCACATTTTACGAAGGGCTTTATCAATGTAATTTTTTTTTGTCAGTGGAAAGTGTCATGATGACATTTCTAACCTTAGGTCCCTGGGCGGGACCCGGAAAGAAATGTGTACACACCAGAAATCAATAATAATAATAATAATATATTTTAAAATTAAAACAACTCCAAATTTTTAGTTCCGAAAGATTGTTTTTAAATTTTGTTCATAAAAATAATGAAAGGAGTTTATTCGATTTTTGTGGTTAACATTAGATTTATCTTTATTGAGTTTTAGAAGATTGTGTGTATAATCAAAAAAATTGAATGGAAAGATTAAATTTTGTGCGCTTCACTTTAAAAAAAAAAAAATAAATTTCTTTAGCTTCTTTGTCCTGTCAATACTTCCCCAGTTACGAGATACTGGGTCAGGATCAATAATATTGCAGATTTTTTTCTTTTGATTTTACCAAGACTCTCTAAATAAATAGTAGGAACACCGGGAAACGGATTTTTGACATAATAATAATTCAGACTCAAGTTTGATTTTAAATATACTTAGCACCAGAAAGAGAGTTATAAAGAAAATTATTAATGCGCCCAAGAAAATTAAATTTCGACATGAAATGACCCATAAGATATTGTTATGCCGCTAAACAAAGAAACAAACTACTAGTGGGAACGCTCAATAAGTAAAAGAAAATAATAAGAAGTAGTGCCAATTGTTATCCGTACACTCGGAACCTAATTCAAATCAGAATACTGAATCAAGTTGTAAAAAAAAAAAAAAAAAAAAGAAAGAAAGAAAGAAAGTGAGCTTGTTAAATCGTGGGTTCTTCTGTTTTGAATCTGAAAGAAAATGGAAAAGTATCATTGCTAAAGCACTGAAGAAGTTCTGTAACATAGAGGTGACAGTCATGCCAGTTATTATTTGAGTACTAGGAACATCTAAAAGTATCTAGGAAAAAGGCCAGTGGAACTGGAAACTAGGGAAACAGTTGAGACAGTATCACTACAAATAACTACAATACTGCGGAAGGTGCTGAAGTATCGGGGAAATTTGTCATTTAATTTCCAGTGAAAACTCCAAGTTACTAATGAACCGAGTACTGAAAAATATAGTAAATTTATGACAAGTATTTCTTTTTTTTTTTTTTTTTTTTTTTTTTTTTTTTTTTTTAAAATGTATTAATTGCTTACCTTTTGGCGTTTGTCCACCAGAACACTAATTTCAGTCGATGAAGGTATGGTTTATATACCTTCGAGCGTCTTTTTCATTACAACAAAGTTGTCCCCACCCATACACATTTGTGTACATGCCTTCTTCGTTGGGAAACTACACGTGTTGATAACACAAATCACTGATAAGCTTTTGAAAGTGTAGCTAAATCGTTGCAACTTAGGATTGTTAAGCTATACTTGAGGCTTTAAACAAAATGCCGGGCCCACACTTGTTAAAGCGTACACGGACAGGTACATTACACCGATGTATTTCAATAGGAAGCATCAGTGTATAATTGACCCTTAAATATTTTTCATCTACGGTGGGGGACTTATGCAGCATAGCCCTCACTACATTTGCTTTGTCAGTCATTGTAGAATGTCAACGATAGACCATAGAAATCATAACTAGAGATGGGATTTATTTACACTATTTACATTGTACGGACTATAAAGAAACATCAAAAAATAAATCCCATCTTTGTCTATATTTCTGAGATATTGTAACTATTTGCACTATTTACGTTGTTCGGACTATTGTCCTCATCTTTATTGTCATATTCACGACGTTTCGGCCGTTGTACGGTCCGGCCTTCTTCAATTTACGTAGGAATTTCTAATCGAACCCTTTATTTCGACCATCGGGGTATATTGATCTAGTTCCACGCGACATATCTTTTCTGGATGCCTCAGTTTCAGTTATTTACCCCCACCCACCCCGTAACTCAACTGTACAAGTTTTTCTTCACCAATGATGTGGCCAGG